CTAGTTCTTCTTCTTGGCCGCCTCTAACTGGTTTTTGACCTGTAAGATGGCAGACGCCTGATAATACAAAATGTCAGTGGTCAATATTTCGTTTTGGGCAATCTAAAATATTGCCTTATCACAATCAGAGGCGGCCATGGCCTTCGCAACCTTTACCTCCTTGGTATTTTCATGGATGGGTTTGGGAAGACCATACACTCGGAGCATGGCCTGCAAGACATAAAAACATGCGTCATAAGTGATCTCATAAACAGGCGGCTAGGAACGCTACTTATCCTACAAAACTTGATATTAAACCAAGTTTACCTCAGAAAGAAGAGCCAGGATTGACTCTAAGTCAAGGGTGCCGACTCCCTTGACAGATTCCCTCTCCTCGAGGGGAATGGCCTTGAGCATGGATTTGGCCATTTGAACCAGGTACGGTTCCTCGGGGGCGCCTGCAATAACATAGACCATTAATATGGCAGATGGGAATGAGGGGCAACAGGCCACCTGATTCGAAGGAAACTAAAAATGTAAGAACAACGAGCTTAATACCTCTCGAAGGCCGACAGTCCCTAGGGACGTTGGTTTGCTTTGCCCCACTTTGGGGGGTTCGCACCTGCTTTTCAGCAGGTTGCCTCCTGGACGAACCAGGCATACTCCAGCCGTTTGCTTGCGGGCTTTGGAGTCCGGCTGCTGGGAGGAGGGAGGTCTTGGTGACTCATCCTGCAACAAACAATCGGAGTTAAAAAAAAAAAAAAAGAAGAAGAAGAAGAAAAAAACCAAGGACATCGGAAGCTCACCTTGGACGCCTCCTTTGAAGGCGAGTCAGTAGAAGGCCGCTTCTGGCCGAGAATGGCAGCGCGTAGAAGGGCGAATGCTTTTTTGCAGGCAATAATCTTCTCCATGGCTTTATCTGCAAGCAGTACATGTTAGAAAAATATTCAGGCAAGTTAAGGAATGCAAAGACACAAACAGTAGTGGGTCGACTACCTCTAGTCGTCCGTTCACTAAGGCTACAGGCGGCCAGAAAATATTCATCATACAACCATTTGAATTTTGGTAGACAGTTGTGAGGGATAAGCTCTCGGACCCCTGTAGTAGGGTTGGCTCCGATGTCCACCTTGAAGAGTCCTCTGTCTAGGATCTCTTCTTTGGCTTCACGAGGAATAAGCGGCAAGTCAGAGCCGCCTGCTAAGTAAGGTGGATCCCGGTTCCACCTATTGTACTTTTTGTTCAAAGCCTTGTTAGGGCCGGAGACAATGAAAAAGGTGTTCCTCCAATCTTTCCATTTGTTCTCCTTACCCCTGGTCATAAGATAGCACTTGTGGCTGGAAATTTGATACCATCCGGTATCGCTTAACTTAGGGGTCCGGCTAAGATAATTCATTTGGGCGAATGCTTCAAAGCTTGGTTCCACCCCATACATTTCACAGCCGGCCACATACCCAAAAATGTTAAACCAGGAGTTCGGGGCAAGCTGCCAGAGCCCAATTTGGTACCCCTCAAGGATTCGTTCTACGGCCGGATGCAGGGGGAATCTAAGTCCGGCTTTAATCGCCGCCTCATAGCAGCCGAAACACTCGTCCCAGTAGCTGGACTCTTCATGCCAAACTATCGTGTCCTCGGGGTCCGGGACCGAAAGAGTGTAGCCATACCCCATTACATGGTCGGCCCGGAATGTTCCAAATCTCTCAGCCATGGCCTTCCGCCTGCCCTTTGGAACATGACAAGAGTAAGGAGTGAATAACTCCCTTTGAGAGGCGGACGGCTCAGCCCAGTCGTCACCCTTCTCAACGGCGTGAGACTCTCTCGCTGCATGTAGCCGAGAGTGTCTCTCCTCTGAATCAAGAGAATGCCGGTTGGAGGAGCTAGACTCAGAGTCTCAGAAGAGACCGACTCCTCTTTCTCGGTAAGGGTCGGCTCTTGTCCGAACATATCAACAACCATGGGACTGGTCGCCTGAACCTCTAATTCCTCTAAGATTGAGTCACTTGGAGTGCTTGGGTCACCAGGCGACCTGTCCGAGAGCTCGCTCATCTGAACATAATATGAGGAGCCGTCTGAATTTGTATATCCGGTCGTCCTCTTTGTTCTGGCCATAGTGTCCTGCACAGACACAGAGACAGTCGGACTTGGAGCACAGGGCAGAGATTGGTCCAAAAAGGGGCAGTCGACACTCCTAGTCCTAGATTCAGCCGTCCCCGGTGACCGACTAATCACTAACTTAGGTCGTGCCGGGTGCTTTTGGGATACCATATTTTCAAAGAAAAAAGCAAAGAAATGAAAAGTGCAAGAGCAAACGGTTACCTGAAGATTGGAAGTTCTCTGAAGAAAGGAGATGGAAGTGCAGCCGGTCACTAACAACAGTCGTCTAAGTCAAAATAGTCGGTTGGTAATCAGTCGTCCAGGAATCTCAGAGCACAAGTTCAAGGTTTCAAAGTTCTCTTGCAAAGTTCACAAAATGTGAACAAAAGACTTGGGTCAACTGCCCTTATATAAGGCAGAAGGGGAATGCGAAGGGTCACATCCAAATTTTTTTTTTTTAAAAAAGAAGGGAATAGGCGGGAAAAACAGATGGCCTACCACAGGCCGACACCCGTCACAGGCCGTCGCCCAACTACGAGCCGCCACCTGTCACATGCATCATGTGACAATTCACGTGACCCCTGTGAGGGGCAAATGTTTAGGGGAATTTTCCCCGCCCAATCAGAGTCCGCCACGTGGACAAATTAGGACCTGCCACGTGGACCCCTCAGAGCCTGCCACGTGTCACTCAGATTCTAGTCTAACATGGACCAATCACGCCACGCCACGTGGCCCACAAACAGCCAACCTAGAAAAGCGGTCACCAAGGCCCGATTCCCGAGGCAAATCCCAATCAATCCTAGGTTTACCATTAACCTAGTATTGGGCACGTGCTTCGAGGCTATAAATACAGTAATTAGCCCTCATTAAACACATTAAGAATTAATTAATCATCTCGCCTAGAGAAGCCTAAACACCTGTGCATACTAATCACTAGACCAGACTTAGCATTAATTGCACTCCCCGATCACTCCTCCCTTCCGAGGAACCAGATCACCCCATTTACTTTTCGCACCTTTTTTACTCCACCTACAAGTACTAACTTGATTGTTGGAGGCAGAGCTCCCACCACCCGAAGTCTCCGTTGTTTTGCAGGTACAGGCGTAAGGATCCCAGTCCCAGAATTGTAACTCTCCCGCAGGACATCAAAAAAACCCCGAAACATTTGGCACCAAAATTCAAATATCATTTTGGCTCTTAAATTCAAATAGTAAAACAAATTATTAAGATACCTTTTTAGAAAATATTAATTAATTAATTAATTAGAAAATACGTTTCAAAAATACGGGGTATTACAATTATGTATGTCAATAGAATTTTACGATTCTACGATTCGATTCTAATAGCCCCTTTCGATTCAAAGTGGAATCCCTATTTTAATAACTTTGCACACCGTAATATTTAACCTTTACCATTTGATAATTATTTAGAACTTTAGACAAGTTGGAATGAATCCACAAATAGTGATTTATAAAATGAATTCGACATCTGAAGTAATAAACCACTAAGCTAAAAGGTTAAAAAATTAGCAAATATAGTAGATAAAGAGTTAGATTATTAGCTTACTAACTTTTTATCCTTATCCCACCAATTTATCTCTATCTCTCATAACAAAAGCCATTAAACTATTAAAGAATGGAGCCACTATACCACAAATAAAGTATAATAACATAAAGTACATTATTACGACAAGTTAAACACATAACTCACGAGTAAGGCCCTGTTCTTGTGAGTTTTTGGGCAGGCAGAGCAGGGTCAGCAGAGTTGAGCAGATTTTAGCAGAGCAGAATAGAGCAGATTTCAGCAGACCAAACAGAGTAGAGCAGAGCAGATATCAGCAAATCGAGCAGAACAAATTTCACTCAGCGGAGCACAACAGATTTTAGCAGAGCAGAGTAGATTTCAGTAGAGTAGAGTAGATTTCAGCAGAACAGAACATGGCCTAAGCCTATTACCATAAATAAATGTAGATTTGTTTTGATACAATAATTTACTTTCTCCCTAGGATTCAATGGATTCATAGATCTCCCTACCCAAATGGAAAAGTACATAAACCATAATCTTGACTCCCTTCTCTTCAATTTCGTCACTAGCCACCTTTTTGCAAGTGGAAAGCTAAACGTCGCCCTCGAATCTGTAACTAATGCCCGCAAAATAACCTAAAATGACGTACGTAGCCTTATTATTAAAATAATTATTTTTACCTAAACTTAACACTTTTACCCTACACAAACATTTTAACTGTTCTCTCTAGTGTTCACCGGCCACCAACGATCACGTTTAACCACCAACCACCATATATAATTTTCAAAATCAACAAATAATTTAAATATGGCAAAATTTTATTCGATGGATCTCATGAAAGACGACGAAAGACCGGAAATACCACCTACGTTGCTCGCCGGAGGCTCATCGAATCGTACGGAATTGGTATAATTATTTAATTGTTTTATTTTCAAAATACCCAGGAAAACGCCCAGAAAAATTTCGAAAAAACTAGGCGTTTCTGCCTAGGTTTTTTTGAAATTTCTGGGCGTTTGCTTGGGAATTTCGAATTATTATTTTCTTTTTGGTTTTGAATTTCACGTATTTGTTATTGTTATTATTATTTTGATTATATTAGTTGTGTTTGTTGTTATAATTACTTGTGTTTGCGTGCTATTATAATTAGTTGTGTATTGTTAGAATTATTATTACTATCATTGTTAGTTGTTATTATTATTAGTTGTGCGTTGTTAGAATTATTATTGTTATTAGTTGTTATTATTATTAGTTGTCTCCGGTGACCGCCTTCCTTTTGTCCTTCCTCGTCATTTTCGCCACTAACTGTGTAGATCGAGAAATTGGAGGTAAAAGAAGGTGGTGGTGGTGGGTGGTTAAAAGAGGAGGTGGTGGTGGTGGTGGTTTAGAGAGAGAATTGTTTTTAGGAGAGAGAAGAGAGAGTGAGGGTTTGGGGGGGTAATTTTTTTTTCTATTATAAGGGTAAATTTATAAAATATATACTATTTTGCGGGTGTAAGTTGGAAATTCGAGAGTGATATTTAACAACCCCATTTGCAATCAATCAATTAATAAAATCACACAAAATTAAACACTCCAAATCCCTCCAAAAATAGTAACACTAACACCAAAGAATTTGAAGCGCTCTATAATTTTTTTCACAACACATTTTAAAATTCAAATACCAAATGATAAGCCAAACCACCCTCTCTCTCTCTCTCTTCTTTCTCTCTCCTCAATTCTGCGGCACCACCACCTTCTCAACCGCCTCTTTCTAGGGTTCCGTCGCCGATTTCCACTTTCTCTTTCCTACTTCACTTCTTCTTCTTCTATGCAACTTCCGAATTGCTTCTTCTGGAATTATTCAGTGAAACGATTGATTTTTTAATGTTTGAATTAAGTGGGTTCAAAGATTGTTCAAGGGATTATGTCGCAAGATCTTGGTGAGTTTTGGGGAGTTATTTGATTTTTATTTGGTTGTGGAGTATTTTGAAGTTGGTGGGATTGAATTGAATTTGGGGTTGTAAACCCTAAATTTGTGGCGGTTTTGAAGATATGGTGATTGAAGCGAATGGTAATGGGAATGGTAGTGTTCATGGTAATAGTAACGGTGGTAATAAGGTGAATGGTTTTTTGCATGGTTGTTCAAGTAGTAGTGGCGGTAGTGGAGATGGGAGTTCGCTTCGGACTTATAAGCGTCGAAAGTGTGGGGCATCGAATTCGAATTGCAAGGTTGTTGATTTGGAGAAGATGCCTTGTGCTACTTCTGCTCAATTGGATGATAAGGTTCTTTTTTTCTGTCCAATTGATTTATGTTCTTGTATTGGCACTAAGTTGTTTTCGTGTTTCGATGAGGTTTGATTGATTTGCGTTGTATGAATAATGTGGTTAAATTTGCCGAATTGAGCAATGTGTTATTCTTGAGTTAATTAGAATGAGTTCAGTGACTTTGAAGTTGTGTCCAGTGAATGCTAAACCATTTAGGTGTCATTAAAATTGTAAAATGTCCTGGATTTACTTCTCCATGAAGGTTTTTTCTTTAATTGGGATTTCGTGCAAATCAAGCTGGTTTGACATGTATGCCAAAATTTGTAATGATTTTTGGATCATAGAGCTTGGATGGAAGTTGGTCTTGTAATTGAGTGGGATGAAAACACTCATTTGCACTAGGTATGCGAGTGGAGCTTTATATAGACCCTTCATCGGCTCTATGCACTTTTGTTGTTAGAAATTTTCCTTTGAGGATAGGGTTTGGAGGTTATGTACTTATGTGTGATTATGTTTACAATTCAAGTTATTGACTTGTGTCAATGACACTTGAAATTATGTTGTTTAATAAACTCTGTGGAAAGCATATTATAGGAAAACTTCCTTAGTACTTGAAGCCATCCATAAAATTATTGTTACCCAATGCTTATTGTTTGTAGAGCAGAAAAATTTAGAAGGTTGGTATGTACTTGAGCAAAAATGGGAATCCAACAGGGTCTTGTTCTGGCATTGATAATAGCAAAAAGTGTCAGGCTGAGAAAACTTTGTTGTGCCAAAACTTTTGAGAACCCTGGTCCCCGGACAAGAATTAGCATGGTGCCAAGGACACCAGCTTATCTGCTGCAATTGAGCAGCTCAACTCCTAAAGTCTGCACTGTCAAATCTGTGTCTCTTGCATAGTTTTTCACATGTAATGTTAGGATAGAAGCATTCTTTATTTTGGAATACTAATTTTCTTTATCCTAGTCTTAATTTTAAAAGGAATGAGGTGTAAGGCAAAAGGACATACCTTTCTTAATTTTAGAAAAGCTCAAATAGCATCTCTAGAGGATATGGTTGATTGGGTTTAGCTCCTATCTAATGTCTTTGTCAGTAGTTTGGTTACTAAACAGCCAAACCAGCAGATAAGAGACTCCTAACTTTCTTACATGTTCTATAAGGACTAGATAATTTCTTTATTTGAAGCGTTATGTTTGGAAGGACCCTTAATTACTGTCAGTGTGGAGGCCTGAAGTTGACCTTCCGGTGGCTTATTTAGCTGGGAAGATGGAATGTGATTTGGCACCTGGGATAGAATTTTAATATGGTAGAATTTGCATTTATTTATGAAGATTTTTATGCACTTTTAATTGCATTTTGACTTTAGCAATTTTTTTTTTCTTGATATATACTCCCTCCGTGCTCCCCTCTTTTTATTTGCACGATGAACCCACTTTTTGTGAGAGCTTTTTTGGGTCAAATGGTACAAAAAATAAGGGGCAAAGCGAGTTGCAGATTCCCCCTCTGGGATCTGAAATTTTTAATCCTTCATTAAGGATCTCTAATAAATTGATCTAATCACTTGTAAAACTTGGTTTGTTTTACTTTTGAGTTTCTACATAAGAATGGACATAGTACATTGTTTGACCACAATCTTTAAAATATTTGGGATAAGAGTTGACTGCGTTGGATGGTGTTTTGATCACTGATATTTGGAAAAAGTGACAAAATGTAGAATGAGAAATGTTAGTTTAGTGGACATAAGATTGAAATGGAGGGGATAAGAAAGTTAATGATAATGGACAAAAAAAGAAGTGGTTTTAATGTTAAAGAAGAAAGGGAGGAGAGAGGTAGTGATGCAAGAAGTCTAGAACATGGGGGTGGTAATTATACTTTTTGTGATAGGTATCGAAAGAAAAATGGAAAACAAAAGCTGTAATAATTTTAACATGTTGTAGAAGGAGAGTAGAGGGATGAGGTAAGTGAGCAATTAGAGTAAGGAAAAAACATGACATATACAATTAAATAAATGTAAGGATGATCTAAAGAAACAAATATTAATGAATCATGAAGTAAATGTAAAAAGCTGTTATCAAATGATATGACCCATGAGAAGATTGAAAATGATTTGGCGTGGAAGCACAAAAGACATTGATAGGGGAGGACCTGGAAGACAGAACAAAACATGCATGGATGAATAATTGATAAGAGAAGGATAGTTGACAATTAAAGATGTAAGGATGCGGTTGTCCCCTCCGCAGAATAGAAGGGATAAGTTTATTTAGTTATTAGTGAGTGATTTTTCCCCCTTAGAAGGGAATGGAGAAATGGCAACATATTACCAACTTTGTATCTCTAATTTGTACCTACTCCCTTGTACAAAGATTGGAGTGTAGGAAGTCCAATCCTGATTCCCACTTTTCCTTCCTTTTTTGCCCCTCTAAACAAATACTCCCTCCGTCTTTATTTGTTTGCCCCATTGCCTTTATTTTGATCAAACTTTAAAACCTTTTTCGATAAATTTCTATTAATCTATAAGAGATAATATAGTCTTGTGGGATCTTGTTGGATTCATCTAAGTATATTTTATTAATATCAAGTTTTAATATTTTTTACGCTTATACAAATGGAGATATATACATTTTAAGACTTTACGCTTATACAAATGGAGATATATACATTTTAAGACTTGTCTTTGAGACCGTGAAAAGTCTAATGGGGCCAACAAATCGGGACGGAGGGAGTAGTGATTTAAATCATGCAAACATTTTTCCCTTGTTTTCTTTTTTTTTATTATTGGTAATTGTTGAGGCATGAGAGCATGAGGTTAAATGATAACATAGCATGAGAAGCTAACCAGAAGAAATTTACAAGAAGTCTTGTCAGAGTGTAATTATATTTTTGTGTGGGGAAGCAATGTATTTAGAAGTGACATTTTTAAAGGGGCAAATGTTCTTAGCTGGAGTCTGGTAATTGATACTCCCTGGAGTTTCTGTGCTGTGTTTTTTCTGCTGATGGGCCCATCCAAGGCTCGAGTTGAAGTTCTAGTAGTGTTTATTTTCAGCAATATTACATTTCCTGTCATCCCATGCATAGCTGTTGTGCATTGAGCTCAACCTTTTCATTTGGTCATTTATTGACATAAATGAATCTATTACTTTTATAACTCAGTCCGTATGCCTCATACTACTATGTATTTTCTTTACCTGGTTTGTGCAGATGGTAAAAGAATTAGTGGACATAGATGAATCTGTTGCTGGTATAACTTAGTCCATATGCCTCTGATGTATTTTCTTTATCTTGTTTTGTGCAGATGGTAAAAGAATTAGTGGACATAGATTTACAAAAAAAATCTTGTGCTCGAGTCTGTGACCCAAAGATAAATTGTCAATCTCTTCTGAATGGTTCAGATGGTTGTTCTTATCAACATTGGAGAAATGCTTTGGAAAACATCTGTCAATCACTCTGTCCCACTGAGGGCGGAGGTGGTGGAATACCGAACTGCATCAGGGAGGCACTTCTTAGTAATCCTGGAAGTAGTCATGCAAACATTGCCAAGGTATGTTGCCAAACTCCATGTTCTTTCCTCAGATGGCTTGTTTACATTGCTAGCTTTGTTTTTTTTTTTTTTTTTAATTCACTTTTCGCTCATGCCTGTATACATTTGAGCCCCTTCAACGTTCTTCTCTAGGCAGGTGTCTGATGATAATCACAGGGTAAATAGTAGGTTATGGTTTACCAATCTGGGTAGTTGACATTGCTTATATAAATTTTTTTGTTACATGTTACCTTTTATCACCCCATGTTCTCCTTTTCTTTGTTATGCAGGAAACAATTGACCATCGTGATAGCCATGCCCATTTACCGAGAGCTGGGCAAACTAATGGAGCTTCAACTGAAGCTAAAGGATTTTCATCTGTGATTTCTAATGGAGTTCCAAGTGATAGCGATCAATTAACTGTGACTAGGCTGTGTGAACGTGCTTTCCTCAGACTTGTGATTTCAGGAAAGTTTGCTTCACTGTGCAAGATGCTTACTGAAAATCTTCATGGGCTGAACATTGAAAAAGTTTTGGACTTTAGTCTTATTAATACAAGGATAAAAGAAGGTGCATATGAACAAACACCTATGCTGTTCTCATCAGATATCCAGCAGGTACTTTATTCTGCCAGTTTTCTTCTAGATTCTGTGACATAGGTTTTTGCTTTAGTTTCAGTGTAGAAAGCAAACCTTGAATTTACTTTAAACAGTGATAAACTCATTGCTTTCTCAGTTTCTCTGGAAGGGGCACAACATGGGAGTTTTAATGGTCATTCGTGTTCCAAACTTTTCACAAAAGGATTCACAATGAGCTGAACAATATGTGAATATTATTGATAATCTTTTTTTTTTTGTTTTAAATTTTTTGTAAAAATCTTTTTCTATCTTATGAAGTTTGAGCTTTTTTAAAATAGTAGTAACAGGACCATTATTTTCATGTGGAGGGAATTTGATGCTGATAGTTGCCCTGTTTTATTTTACTCACGTATTTAGTAAGAGGAAGGTTGTTGGTAGTGTTGACAAACCTTGTATATAATCTTTAGTGCTTCACTTGGAATGGATATTTGTTAGAGAGCTTTATGTTTCTTAATGTTTTGTACTAAGTTCATATTTCTCATGTGTCCTTTACAGTAAAGACCACTTTTGGATTGGTTAGGCTTGGTGTGATATGACTTTTGAGCTCTACCTTGGCATCTTTAGTTAGCTGTCAATCTGTTCTTTGGGATCAAACTTATTAAAACAGCAGTTACATAATCTGGACTTTTGTTTAGCCAACAAAGTTTTTTGGTTTGTATTAACTACATACTAGGTTATATTAATTTACTACCTCCGTTTCATATTATTTGCAACTTTTGCCAAAAACGGATGCTACACATTATTTGCTACAAACTTTTTCTTTCCTTTTTTAGGTTGTCATTTCTCTCTATCTCTCTCCTCATCACATGCATCCATATGTTTCTCTCTCTATTTTGCACTCAGAAACAAATTTTGCTTAGGAGTCCGTGTGGTACTCCAAAGTTGCAAATAATGTGAAACGGAGTTAGTATTATGTTATGAAGTATAGGTAACGGACTTTAATTCTTCCTTTCTTCTGCTTGGGGATTCTGTTGGGTGAGGGTGACTTTTAATGACCTTTAGGGCATGTGGGAATTGACAGTAAAATTAATCTTGGAAGTAATGAGTGATGAGGAGGAGAGGGAAGATGGGAGGTGGTAGGGTGTGGCTATAGGAGGGGAGGCATTGGGAAACTATAGACTTTATTTTGTTGGTGTTTTTATTGATCTTGGAGGATACTCTGGGACTACCTTCAGTTAAAGTGTTGCAATGGCTTCTTCTTTCTCCTTTCTTTGTTCTATCGTTTCACCAATCTACGCTTGCCCTTAACAGCTTGTAAATTTATTTCTCAGCGCTTGGATTAATGAAAGAATTGAAAGGAATCAATGTTTGTTTAGTCAATAGTAAAGGAAAGATAGTGTTCATTAATCTAGAGAGACAACCCCACCCTTGTTATTAATATCTACACTATGAAACTATGTGTTTTTTATACACCTGAATGTCTATCTAGTTCACAAATTACGTGACTAGTAGGAAAGCTGTATGTTGGTAACTTGTGTCCTTTGCAAATTAATGTGCAGGTTATGGTGGATGACATAATGACCGAAACTAACTCTTAGTTGCCTGCCTATCATTCATAAGTTACTCCTATTTTCAAATCATCTATATAAAGAAAGAATCGATTCAAATGAGCACACCTTGTTTTTCTGTTCTCCAATGATAGAGAGACTAGGTTTATTAACAGAGTTTCTCAAATAAATTTTAAATGCATATGGCTAGTTGATATTTTCTTTACAATTCTTTCGTCTTTTTTATGCATACTGGCAGAAAGGTTTTGCAGGTTTTATGGCATAATTTTTTCATGTAGAGAGAAGCAAAGTAAATTAAAGAAAGGCTGCAGTGGGAGATGGCTAAAAGGAGAGGGTTGCAGTTTATTTTGAAGGGATATATTAGCAGTGGGGTAGATAGAAAGTAAAAATGAGCAAAATAAAAGTCAACAGCTTTTTAATTTATTTCAAAAGCCATTTGATTCCTTCTCTGTCGGTTTTTTTCTATTCTTCTGCCAAACCAACTTTTAAGAAAATTTAAAGACCAGAATAGGAACATCTAATCTGGACCTAAGTAATGGAGGCTGGAGAATACTATCTGAATACCAGGTAACAAAAGGAAGAACTGGAATTGTTTAGATTGTTGCTTGAGGTCTGACCATGATTTGAGACTCTTTGACCTTTTATTATGTTGTTTTGTGAATTAAGTGGTTCTTGTGTATGTTCGAAACCACTACTTTTAATAATTTGCGAAAACTGAGTTTCCAATGTATCTTTGCTATCTTGTTTGCATTGTTCAAAGAAAATGGCAAGTGAACTATCGAGGTTTACATAAGTCTGGCTTAAATGCCAACTTTGTTTTGATTATATGCTAAATTGTCACTATTCCATGTCTCACTTGTCCGCAGATATGGAGAAAGCTTCGGACAATTGGCAATGAGATGGTTTCCCTTTCAAATAATATGTCAGAGCTGTCAAGAGCCTGCTGTCGTGACCTGGTGAGAGCTTATGTCTTAACTTAGTGATTATTTCTATATCTGGCATAAATCTTTGCTACCCTTCACAGTCCACTGTTTCATCTTTATTGCATCAATCATGCATCCTTGATTCAAATACTATTTTTTTTGACAGGGAGGAGGTGCTGTACTTGATACCTCAAGTTACAAAGGACAAGAGGTAAATAATTTATTCTACTACTGCACTTATTGGTGTATCTGTTAGAGCTTAAACGTTGACTGCTATATCTTTTGAGTGGATCTAGCTTATAACCATTTTGGCTTTTCCTGAGTATTAATGATCAGTGTTGTTTAGAGATGAACATGTCAAAATGAGGTGGTCCTATGAACGCCTTTTTTAGTTAAAAGACTTAAAGTTTGAGATTTATCTTAACTTTGTTTTAAATAAATGTTGTCAAGTGGGCATAACACTATAAAAAGGAAATTTTGTGGGGAACTATCAAATAATGCTGAGTTATGGAAATATTACCATTTTTTTGGGCATCTCTACCAACTCAATGGTTATCTTAATTTTTCCTTTAACTGGCCTAAAATACAATCAGGTTACCGTCACCTCCACCAGTATTGTAACCTCCTCGGCTCCTTCTAAACTGCATCTGTGCTGTCTAATCAACTTGAAAATGTGTTTGTTAATGATTCAATGTATAGAATAACTTTTCACTACAAAAAAATGTCCATATAGAAATGGAATTCTAGCGATGGAATCCGTTTCTAAATTAGAGACGGAATTAAAAAATCCGTATCTAAATTAATTTAGAAACGGAATTAAAAAATCCGTTTCTAAATTAGAGATGGAATTTAAAAATCCGTCTCTAAAATTAGAAACGGAATTGAAAATCCATCTCTAAATTAGAAGCGGAATTGATAATCCGTCTCTAAATTAGAAACGGATTTTTTTCCGTTGCTAAATTTAGAGACGGATTTTTTTTTCCCGTTACTAAATTAGAGATGGATTTTTTTTTTTCGTTGCTATGAGCGACGAATTATTAATTCTGTATCTAAATTATTTTCGAAACGAATAATGTAAAATATTACTTTAGAGACGAATTATGTAAATTAAAATCCGTCTCTAAACTAGAAACGGATTTGAAAATCTGTTTCTAAACTAGAGACGAATTTTAAATTCCGTCTCTAATATTTCTTTCACTTATTATCAATTATGTGCGTAGATGTAAACAAATAATATTTGGTATAGTTGGTAAGAGTTTCACTATTTGACTTTGAGGTCACGGGTTCGACTCCTACCTATTGCGATTCTTGAGATTGGGGATTCAAGAAGCCTTACATGCAAAGTCGAGTGGGTTGACCCGAGTGGGGTCGAACCGAATAGCATCTACTTTTAGACACAAAATAATTTTTTCCGTTGCTAAATTTAGAGACGGATTTTTTTTTTTTTCGTTGCTAATACCAGCGATAGATAAAAATAATCCGTTGCTAAAATCAGCGACAAATAAAAATCCGTTGTTAAACCTATGACGGAAATAAAAATCCGTTGCTAAGTTCAGCAACGGAAAACAAATACAACGTCGCTAGTCTCATTTAGCGACAACAGTTTTGCCAACAAAGTAATTCCGTTTCAAAATTTGTCGCTACCTATATTTAGCGACAGAAAAGTACAATCTAGCAACGGATTTGATCTGTTGCTAAATGTCTATTTTTTTGTAGTGTTTGTGATATACGGATTAAAAACCTTTGAAGATGAGCATATGCAATTTCATTTATCTAATATGTGAAGGAAAACCATCTTCACTTAAAAAAAAGTGTAAAATAACATCATAAGACAATTTATTCACTTGTTTTTAGTGGTAGTATTTTACATTTCGAATGTCTTCTAACCTTGGTGACAAATTAACTCTTGTATACTTTCATTTATCCTTGGTGCAATGGAACCTTTCCGACTGTTTTTTAATTTGTATTATAATGAGCTTCAAAGTTTTCTGATTTATTGATAGATTGTTTGGCCATTGTCAACATAAAGTAATTTTCAGAGGCTTTATCAGACATAGCTTTAAAAAATTGTGTTTATTGGTCAATCCATTAGTCTTTTGCATACACCTTAGCACTACTTTATGTGAACAGTTAAATGGCCGGGATTATGATGTGCAAATCAAGCAGGAAGAGTTAGATGCTTCTGTGTTTTGTACATGTAGACAGTGTGGAGAGAGGTCAGATGGAAGAGATTGCCTTGTGTGTGATTCATGCGAAGCAATGTTCCATGTTTCCTGTATCAAGCCTGCTGTGAAGGAAATTCCACACAAAAGTTGGTATTGTGCTAATTGCACTGCTAGTGGTATGGCATCTCCTCATGAAGATTGTGTTGTTTGTGAGAGACTAATTGCTAATTCTGGTATCAGTGAACTTGATGCCATTCCATTGCCTGAAGAAGCACTGGATGATGTTAAAGAAAGTTCAGATGATATCATAGGAACCGGGCCTCAAGTGTTCAAAGGAAACAAACGATTGCCTTGTAAAATATGTGGAAGCATACTAAATAATGGTGAAGAGTTCCGTGTGTGTGAACATAGTGGTTGCGAATACAAGTACTATCATACAAGGTGCTTGACAAACAAAGAGTTAAAAACGTATGGTCCTCGTTGGTATTGCCCTTCTTGTCTATGTAGGGTTTGTCTTGTTGACAAGGATGATGATAATATTGTGATGTGTGATGGATGTGATCATGGATACCATATCTATTGTATGAATCCTCCGCGTACATCAATTCCCAGGGGCAAGTGGTTTTGCCCAAAATGTGATGTAGGGATAAAGGCAGTACGCAAAGTCAAAAAGTTGTATGAGGATCTAGAACGGAAGCAGATGAAAGATGAAGGGAAAAGGGTTACTGACGATTCCTCTAAGAAATCAAAACTGAAATTTGAAGATGCAGCGGGTGGATCTGGAGGAATGGATATGCTTTTATCAGCTGCTAGAACTCTTAATGATGAATAATCTACTGTGCAAGAGGGATTGAGTTAAACTATGAAAGATGTCAAGGCATGAGGATAATTTTTCTTTTTTCTTTTTTTTTGGATTCCTGTTGTAATTTAGGGCCTTAAATGCAAAAGTGGCCATTTCATGTGCTTGCACACTTTCGGCGAGCTGTCTCCGCTATTGTTGGATAAGACTTCAAGTTAGCTGATTTAAAGATCTGGCATGGCCTTGCTTCAAGGGTTGTATATTTTTGACTGGTAGCTTGTAGAAGACTCGCAAAAACTTTGGCCATTGGATGAAATGAGACGGATCTGGTGGCTTTAGTGTGAGATTAATGTAGGTGATCTAACTGTCATTTTTTTGTAATTTGTATCACACCATTTCCATGTGATTGAAACATTTAGATGATAGGTTTTTTTTTTGACATCTAGCTGAAAGCTGTTGTAAGAAGAGATTGTGACACCTTTTTCTGTAATCAAATGGCAACCTGTTTAATTTTTTACTGCTATTTCCCGAGTGATGGCTTTCTGCTGTTCAAGTTTGATTCCAAAGAAACATGTATCTTCCTGCACATTAGCCATAATGCAATACGAGTAACATGACTCGGGAAGGTCTGAGATTCAACACCTTCGTAGAGAAGACCCTTGAGAAAAGAGAGATCGACTGGATGCCAAGAAATAAGGTTTCTCTTTGGCATGGAATCTGTACTCTTAGCCGTGAGGCATAGACCCTGATTTTCTACCGATGTTAAACAATAAATAGTCATCAGTACTGAATCTGATAAGGGATTCAGTACATTCTCTACAGGTCTGTTTGGTAGGCAGTAATGGTTATGGTAATGAATTTATTCTATTTATTTTAAGGTAATAATGCAAGTTAATCCTCAAGCATGTGATTTTTTTTTTCAATCCTTCATTACCACCATTTGAGAGGTAGTTTATGGATGATTAAGAAATTGAGATACTTGTGGTAGGACAGTTATTATCATAAACATTGAGACGAGGCATAGGCTGAGGCCGCCTAAGTGTAGCAGTAATATTGAAATATTTTTATATTATGAATTTTTTGTATGGTATGATACCCTATGTGAATAACTGATCATATGTAATTAGATGTTCCACTGAACTTATTTTCCCATCAGACGATGTACTGATAGATTGGTTACCTTGTTGAGACTTCTTGGATACATGTTTAAGTGAGAGGATCAAATCTGTGAGAGTTTCATAGTGACAGGAAGAATGCTTTGTAACAAGCAGTCAGTTCAGCAGTCCCTCGATTTCAAGCAAGTAACCAACTGAGCCTTTTGTTCTGTTCAATCAATCAAGCAAACCGGTTGCTCAAAAGCGCTTGTCTTTGGTCTACCAGTAAACTACCTTTTCTCCCTATTCAGTCAGTCCAGGCCAAAGGGAAAAAGAAAATGGCGTAAGGAACTTGGAAATACCCTTAAACAAGGGAAACACTTCTTAACAACTGCAGCAAGGTTATGTTTGGGAAACCTGAATCAGGAAGTTTCGGATTTTTATTGCTGATTTATGTTCTACAGAAGAAGCCAGGGGACTATCTATGCTTATATATATTTTCGCTGTTGGACAATGTTCGAGTGCACAGATGATCATTAATAGTCCATGTATGTTGCTAGCTTTTTGATAGGATTGTTACTACTGTGGGAAGTTTCATGTCGGCATTATTAGGAAATCTTCTGCAATAAAAGATTCTGCATTTCTGTTAACTTTGATGGTGATTATTACTCTTTTAAGCAGTAAAGTGTAAAAGCTAAAACAGAATTTGAATGATTAGTAAACACTTTTTCACAGACAATCCTTAGTAGGAACTCTGTGCCTTGAAAAATTTAAAAAGTAGGAGGAATTTTTATTTGCAACTTTTACCATCTTAGTCCGCTAAACATTATGTGTAACTTTATATTTTCTTTCTATTTTTAGTCAACAAAAACTCCAGAAATTACATATTTACCCTTAAATGATAAATGCAAAATAATGAACAAACATACTGAGTAAAATAATTAATCAAGCTAAAGAAACAGATTAATAAAACAACTTCCATTCATACGTGCCAATCATTTCAAAGAACTGTTATTTTTTTATACAATCAAACATTTTAAGACAACAATAGAGACAAATTGTACTATGAACTCAAAAACATAAACAAACAAAGAAAAAAGTTACAGAAGAATATGATTGGATCCAATATTATCCCATATGCTCTGTTGAAACAAGGACACTAGGATAAAATTGGACCCATCATAGTTAGACATTCTATGCATACATGCATTAGTTACATGAACCACAAATATATTCCTAGAGATAAACCAAACATTAAAGAATAATTAGGAGCATCACATTGTATATAGGAAAATTTTCAAGCAACTTTCCTACTACATTTGTGTAAACGTTTGATCAAATTTTGAAATTATTTTTTATAAATTAAAGTTTATTACAATATATCTATTTTTTTTTTTACATGATTTTGTAACATTTATTTTAGCTAATACTCCTTAGCATATTAATTTTGACTCTAAAGTCCATACAAACTAACTTTACCAGGAAATTTTGCTACTTTTCTATAACGTAATGTAATTTTACTTAGCTTTAGGAATTGCATCTATATTTACTTTGTTATACTCCGTGTATATTGTCATGGTGATTATTTTTATTTATTTTTTTTGTCTGAAATTTAAAATCTTGATGGAAAAAAATAATCATTAAAAACGCGATTTCAAGCGTGTTTGTTCTTCAATGGTAGTAGTTCAAGTGGCATTTCCACTGCTCTTCGTTCAAGTTTCTAAAGAACAAGCGTATGTAACTGTAAAATGTTTGTCAAATTGGCTAGATCTTCCAGGAAAGATGTCAAAATTCTGTCTTTAGAATTATAAACTCTGCATTCCAGAATAAATGTAATCAAATACTACAAATATTCTAAATTTCTAATAGCTATTAAGAAATCAATACATGTTCAATTTATACAGACTTTAATTTAATACATTAATTTTAGGTGTTCAATTCCTTACAAATTTTTTTTGAATGAGATGTTAAAAGCTTTTGTTTAATGTTGCATATTATCTGGTTTTGTTTTTAAAAAAATACTTTTTGCTCTTTAATCATATGAATTTGTTAGAAGATTAAACATCAAAGAATAGTTGAAATAGAGATTAGAGAAAGAAATACGAAAAATTACCATAGTTAGACGTTCTTTATTAAAAAAAAAAAAAAAAAAAGAGGAAGAAGCATAATTTGCACATCGTACATACATTTCACACTAGACAAAAAAATAGTCATATATCTATCTGTTTAGAGAGTCACAAGGGCAGGGGTGAGAATCGATGTCAGAATACCTGAAACCGGGAGAGAAACTCTAACCACTTGAGCTATCCCTCACTCTCAATTTATTTAAATAGTTAAATACGTATATCATTGTATTAAAAAGTTGAAAAGGAAATCTTGTGAAGAAGAAAAAGTTGAGTAAATAATATACGTAGTACTAAGTATGCAATAGCTACAAATATAACCTATTGTTCACTATTATAGAATGATCGAGATCCAAACACACCTGAAATTAGTATGAGAATGAGAAATAAATACACATGCTAAATCAAAATCTTCAGCATAGTTGCAGCTTCAAGCCCCAGATAATCTGCTAAAAAAAGGGTATAAAAAATGATAAATGCAGAATAAGGAATTAAAAGTGAAATTGGCATAATTTAAACCTTTATAACACTGTACGTACAACTTAATCATATGAAAAATAAATGGACAATCAAACATATTTAAACAAGCTAAAATCCAGATTATGAAAAATAACTGTCATTCATATATGCCATTCATTTCAAACAACAGTCATCTATTTATACAATCAAATCAAAAAGACAACAATAGAGACAAAATGTACTATGAATTCAAAAACATGAACAAATAAAAACTATAGAAGAATATGATTGGATCAAATATTATCCCAAACAAGGACAATAGGATAAAATTGGACCCATCAAATATTTATTAGACACTCTATACATACATTAGCTATATGAACCACAAATATATTCCTAGAGATAAACCAAACATTAAAGAATAATTAGGAGCATCACATTGCATATAGTTTGCATAGGCATGTATGATGTTGTGTTAGTCTTGTTCGCCGCAGAAGCAACAGATGATCCCCCAGAGTACACCACCCCTCTTTGGTGATGAACCATTTGAATCCTTGGCGTTGTATCCTCGTGCCATGCTTAACTAAAGATAACTTTAAATTAAACTCGGGTTTGGGATGAAACTTGATAATTTAAGTGTCAAACTTTGATTATGGTGATGGCTTCAAGCTGAAGATTTCATACATATATATACAAGATTAATTTGCTTAGCTTATATAAAAGGCGATGGCTTCGAGTAAATTTGCTTGAATTTTCAGGTAATTTTCCTACATTTTATTGTTAATGTTTGATCAAATTATGAAATTATTTTAGCTAATACTCCGTAGCATATTAATTTGACACTAAAGTCCTATAAACTAAGTTTACCAAGAAATTTCGCTACTTTTCTATACTTAGCTTTAGGAATTGCATCTATATTTACTTTGTTATACTCCGTGTATATTGTCATGGTGATTATTTTCATTTTTTTTTTTTTGTCTGAAATTTAAAATCTTGACGGAGAAAACTAATAATTAAAAACGCGATTTCAAGCGTGTTTGTTCTTCAATGGTCGTAGTTCAAGTGGCATTTCCACTGCTCTTCGTTCAAGTTTCTAAAGAACAAGCGTATGTAACTGTAAAATGTTTGCCAATTTGGTTAGATCTTCCAGGAAAGATGTCAAAATTCTGTCTTTAGAATTATAAACTCTGAATTCTAGAATAAATGTAATCAAATACTACGAATGTTCTAAATTTCTAATAGCTATTAAGAAATCAATACATGTTCAATTTTAACAGACTTTAATTTAATACATTAGTTTTAGGTGTTCAATTCCTTAAAATTTTTTTTGAATGAGATGTTAAAAGCTCGCTTGTGCTATTATGTTTAATGTTGCATATTATCTGGTTTTGTTTTTAAAAATATATTTTTTTTTCTTTAATCATTTGAATTTGTTAGAAGATTAAACATCAAAGAATATAGTTGAAATAGAGATTAGAGAAAGAAATAAGAAAAACTACCATAGTTAGACGTTCTGTTAGACGTTCTTTATTTAAAAAAAAAAAAAAAAAAGGAGGAAGAAGCATAATTTGTACATCGCACATACATTTCACACTAGACAAAAAAAATAGTCAAATTTTCAAAATAGACATGAATCAATAACTATATACTAAAAGACACACCAACAATGACACGTGTCATTTTTTGGTGTGTCCTTAATTTAATTATTTAAAAAAAAATTATTTTAAAAAGATCTTTTACTCACATGATAAATATCTTTAATTCATTAATATAGTAATTACTTAAAATAAAAGATTTAATATACTCCGTATCTTTTAACATACAATAATGACAATTATAAATAAAAAGGTACTTTGTGATAAGATTTTAGACATATTCCGTGACATGTTATAGTATAAGAAATATATTATTATTGATATGATTTTTTTCCCTATATGTATTCTAAATTTACAAAACTTAAAAAATCCTTATATGAAAAAAATATAGTAGATCTATAATAGAAAAAGATCACATAGATTGGGAAAATAGTACATCTTATATTAATAAAAGTTTGGAAATTATAAATATTTTATTTATTAAGGTATTTTTAGATTAATATTGTTTTTACTGCAATATTAATCCTTTCCATGAGTTTGCTATATGGATATAAATAAAATTTGTATTAAACAATTGTCGAAAATAAGCAAAGTTTCAGTTGGTTAGATCAATAATCAAACCTTTTGGTTATTCTTTAAATAATCCAACTTGAGCTACGGAGTACATTACAATATAATTATTGTCGTCGATAATATAGCTAATGCATCAGGAATTTAGGATATTACTTGATTTTTTTTTTTGTCTGAGTCAATTTCTTTTATTTATTGTGTTAAATAACCTTTGAAATATGAAGATTATACTCCCTCTATTTTTTATAAATGTTTGA